TGTTTGGGTCGTCAGACCAAACAAATAATGGTAGCGAAATTTCAGAGCCTAATGCTGTTAATTGCAAATGCCTAAAGTAGTCCACTTTTTTGAAGCGGTTGCTTCCCTTTATATGTACACTAACGCCGAAAAATTCAGGGGAGATCAATGCGTAAAGATTGTCAAATGACAGGCGCATTAATTTTCAAGCAAAGTAGTTCCCGAATGGTCGAAGATTTCTAATATTGTTTCATTCTTTATAGATATACATGCTTACAGTAAGCTCCATGATTATTTACATCTGTGTTTAACAACAGGTTTAGCGTCGAAATTATAAGAGTTACAAACCCTAATTTAGAAAAATATGGTTTTCTTCAGACCGTTTACATATAACTTCACCGTGGCGGAGTGGTTTGTACGCTCGCTTATGTATCGAGAGGTCTGGAGTTATAAAACCGAATTGAGGCAACTCATTTTTTAAGTCAAATAGACATTGAATTGACTATCAGTGTTGCAATTAGTCTTATAGCCAAATTACTACAGTTAAAACACTGGAAAGCATTGGTGGCACTATACAAAAACAAATTGGTTTATAATCTCACAACCTTCACCTTTCTGACATTCTGAGACCCAAACAAATTCAGCGCCTTCTGTGCTTTGATTATTAAATGGCTTTATTACACGCCTGCGCCGCGGTTTATGTGATAAATTTGAGGTACCACATGGGGAAAATCTTAAAAAAGTAGTTTCGTCTTTGAAAAGTGTGAAATTATATTTTGATAATTTTCACTGTGAAATTATCAAAATAATTTTCACGGATAAATCAGTAATCCACTGAAAAGCATAAAATAAATAGCGATTAGTTAAGCACCAACTAAATGAAGTGACGTCATAATTTATATTGCAAATGACATCATCGATGTTCACGTCATACTATAGCCCGGGTCTCCACGTTACCGGTGTACATATTTTATACAAGGTGTTTTTCATATAAAAATTTACTGACTTGAAAAAAAGAAGGAAAAAACAACTTCATTAACATTTAATCCTCTTAAAATTACATTACAGAGTTCTGTTACTCTGAAATTCTCGCTCATTGCGAATGTAAACAATGGTCGACCATTTTGTATGACGTAGTTAAACAGACTTCATGCTACCGGTGCACTGGTAAAAATGTTATTTATATGGAAAGCCATTGCAGTTTTAATAGCAAATATATCATTTTAGCATTCTTGTATTCATATCTGAAAAAAAACCGCTTAAAAACAACATAAAAACGTGTGTTTCAATAATTTATTGTTCATCTTTTATGACTCCCAAGGAGTCTCTGTTTTAGAAGCTTTTTACATGTATCATAACAAGCAGGCTAGATGATTTTCTTTGAGAACTCGTAAATTTATGTTTACTTTATTTCGCCGGATTATTATTTAATAAGTGAATTAAATAAGGCGCATGTTTGTGTAGCTAGTGTTTGATTGCCTATTTGACTTTTGATTGATTGAAAATATCGTGAACTTTTGAATTTGACAATTCAAGACAAAAAGTGCAGTAAAGTTTATGTGATTCTTAGGGATTTTTTTGGATCGATGTTTAAAGGTAAGAATTTATCGTGTTACATTCTGTAGTATTTTTTATCACAGGAAATAATCTCGAGTCGAAAGAAAAAATGGCCGCCATTTGACATGACGTGAACGCTGAAGACAACCCCGTAGGGAAAGTCCACCAATAATCGTGCCAGGAATTTGACACGCTCGTATTCATTCATCGAACATGTCATGAAGTAAAGTGAAGCATACCTTCCCTCGATAAAAACTAATATATATATTGAGTACATGTTGAGTAAGCCAAGGCCCTATGGATGGGACAAATAAAAATCTTATTACGAACATAAACTACCTAATAGTTTCCGATAGGTAAAAATTTCGGCACTTGGCCGCCATATTGCCAAAATGTTTGACCACGTGATTACGAGATTGACCTTTACGAACCCATGTGCTTCCAATATTTTTATAAATTACTTTTTTTAAAGATATTGAAAAAGGTGATTTACTGACTTTTATATTCAATAAAATCATATTTAAGTAGATCTACTAAAAAATTAATGAAAATAAATTAAAACATTATCTTGAATCAGGTACGTATATTATTAATATACGTACCTGCTTGAATAAAAACATCGAAATCATGTCACCCAAATGTTCTAAATATAGTACACGACTCTATTCAAATCGGTTCCCGCGAATGATTTTTTTGTAATTTTGACAGTTTTTATGTGTTACATGATAAATAGAAAAACATGCTACTGACTTTATATATCAATTTTATCAAGCTTTTCTAGCCCATATCAGCCTCGCCTGATAAAATTGATATCAAAAGACAGTAGCATGTTATTCTCTACAGTACTGGTTTCCTAGCAGTATTCAGTATGGTTGTCAACTCAGTAAACAGAATTTGTTATATGGTTGTCAACTCAATGACCAGAATTTGTTATATGGTTGTCAACTCAATGAACAAAATTTGTTATATGGTTGTCAGCTCAATGAGCATATGGTTGTCACCTGAATGAGCAGAATTTGTTATATGGTTGTCACCTCAAAGAACAGAATTCGTTATATGATTGTCACCTCAATGGACAAAATTGGTACCTCAATGATCAGAATTTGCTATATGGTTGTCAACTCAATGAATTAAATTTGTTCACGGTTGTCAACTTAATGAACAGAGTTTTTGATTTGGTTGACGACTCAATGCTCGACGTTTATGAATAGAGTTATATTAATATACACGGTAGGGAATCACGTGACTTTTACGGTTACGCGTACAGACAATATGGCGGCCTTAAAACCTCGCTTCACATGTGTTTTTCAGATAATTCTTCATTATATCCATTTTACTTACATACGAGACCTGTTGCAGCCTACGCGGAATAAAGAATTGTTGCCGCCTATATCTTATGTTCCACCCCTGTGCTCATAGCTTTTATTAACACTCAAAAATTCAACAGAAATTTTCAATATGAACAATTATATTTCGGGTAACATTCACGCAAAATTTGTATTATTTATGAATTTGATTAAACTACGCCGAGTTAGCATAGAGAAAATGTTCATAGAATTTCTTTATTTGAAAATGTAAATATTAGGCATGTAAGATGTTGACAGGTCATTTTCTATTCCATTACACGAGAGAAAAATGATTTGGGTAACTCCCATGCATATTTTTATTGTTGATAACTCCCACGCAATATTTTATGTGCAGGCAATATTAATACAGATTAAAGCCTAGATATTGATTGAAAAAAATCATGAATGATGCATTTAGCATCAAACTTTCATAGAACTTTGAATAATATTAAAAATACCGCCACTAGGTCCTTGATAGAAGTAACCCAGCAGGCACATCAACGGTGAATAACGTTGAAGTATGGTCAGATTTCAACGTTGAAATAACGTTAAATTTATGTTCGAATTTGAAAGTTTAAAAACGTTGAAGTTCAACGTTGAAGTTTCAATGTCATTTCAACATACTTTAATTCTAATATAAAGCAAAGTACTATAACAGAGTTTAACAAAAAATCAAGACACTATTAAATACTTCCGTTATTTTATTTCAAAACTACAGTTCAAGTGTAGCTTAAATTCAAACGATTTAAGAAGTCCTTTTAGTTTAACAATTAAGCTACAGTCTGTTCCAATCTACCACTAGTACTTCTTCTAGAGCTCTCTGGGTATGTCTTAAGTGTTTCATGATGGTGTTTGAATACTTCTACTGCTTCTGCAAATAAAATAAGAAGTTACTAGTTAAAATTGACTTGATCAATCTCAAATTATATATAATAAATCAATTTAGTGATTTGTTTTATCTTCTAAGATTTACATAATAAAAAAGCATAGAAATTAAGATACAGCTGAAGTTTCATATTGACAGTAAATTATGTACAAAAAACAACAAAAACTTTTTAAAAAGAAGCTATTTAAGTATGACCTATGATTGGTAAGAAAAACTGCTCCCATCAGTTACGTCAGCATTTTCCCAAGAACAGTCATTTCCATATTATATTAATGGTATAGAAGCTACAGCTGTAATACTCTAAATTTCAGCCAGGACCAGGATCTAGAATATAGACTTATTATTCCCTATAAATTCACGGCAATTAAACTTAAAATTTAACTCTCATCTTTATTATTTAACCTCTACAGTTTATCAATATTTGTTTTGATAATGCAATGGATTTAATGTATTTTTCAAACTAATTCTGTTTCACATTTAATTTTACTATCACTAAGATATAAAATTAATACAGCTAAATTGACGAATCGTCTTGGGCGTAAATTATATGGGGCGAACAACACTTCATCTGCTTATAGGTTACAATAATATGATAAATAAATTTCAAAAAGGCTATATGGCTTGTAAAATCATAAATTGCCAAGGACATCAATATATATGCTATAACCTGCATAGATAATGCTTGCCCATAAAACATTGCGTGGGAGTTATCAACAATAAAAATACGCGTGTGAGTTACCCAAAACATTTTTCTCTCATGTATTGGAATAGAAAATGACCAGTCAACATTTAATATGCCTAATATTTATATTTTCAAATAAAGAAATTCTATGAACATTTTTAACTTTGCTAACTCGATGTAGTTTAATCAAATTCATAAAAAATACAAATTTTGCGTGAATGTTACCCGAAATATAATTGTTCACATTGAAAATTTCTGTTGAAATTTTGAGTGTTTGTAAAAGCTATGAGTACAGGGTTGGAAACAAAGGTATAGGCGGCAACAATTCTTTATTCCGCGTAGGCTGCAACAGGTCTTGTTTGTAAGTAAAAGGGATATAATAAAAGAATTACCTGAAAAACACATGTGAAGCGAGGTTTTTAGGCCGCCATATTGTCTGTACGCGTAACCGTAAAAGTCACGTGATTCCCTACCGTGAATATAGGTATGTCCAATATAATATAGGTATGTCTAATCAATGCTCAGGGTTTGTTAGACGGCTGCCTCTCAATGAAGGCAATTTGTTACGGTGGTCTCCTCAATCCTCTGAGTTGTTATATGCATGTCCACTTAATGAACAGAATTTGTTATATGATAGTACTATCAGTAACCAAAGAAAGTTTAGGTCGTTATCTTCAAACCACTTCCCCCTCATCACTTTGGTTCCGAATCCCGCTAGGGACATTTGATAGCTTCGTGTGTAGAAGCTATCCAATTACCTTATGAAATATTTGAGCTTCTACTTAGGTGCACGTGATACATGGAGGGACACCAGTAAAGGTGGAAAGATACCATTTGACCTCTTCAGTGTTGGTGCGACGCAAAACCCAATTACAATTTTACGCTTTGTATCTTCACGCATTTTATAAAGTATACATAAAATGAAATAAAAAAGATAAGATCCGGTAATTTTTGTTATACTTTTCAGTTAAGATACAATTAGCCCTCATGCATATATACTGTGCAGTATAGATCAAAATTACGTCCCCTGCAACGCAATTATTATTTAAAGAGTGACGTCCCTTGTCACGCATGACGTCGTTACTTAGAGACGTCGTTTACGTCAACCAGAATCAGTATAGCTTTTGAAAACGCTACCAAAAGAAAACATACTTAGTGAGTATTTTTATTTCATTCGTAATACAAATACCTGGAATTACTTGTTTGTATTCCCATAAAATCGGAGATAAATAGATCATGGATTTAGAGATGTGCATCAGTCAATCGGGTAGCCTGTGTTAGTTCAAGTAATAAATTATATGCAACGACTACAGTCCCAACGATTTTGCCCAGGGTTTTCATTTCGTACAAATATGCATTTTTTTTCTTGAATTAAGACAAATTTTCATGTTATTCTGCTAATTTTCTTTATTTGATTTTAAAAAGAAAAAAATATATGACAACATACATGGCATGAATACTCTGACTTTTTTTAGTGAAAACAGAAATTTAATGACATTATTTGCAAAAAAAAAAATGAATATTGTTCTTATTTTAATTATCACAATGGTTGTTTATGATGTCTGCTGTATGAATGTTTGTGTGCCGCAAACCAGAACCAAGTTCATGACTTCAAAATCAAGGTCATTCTTGGAGATCAATGCATACAATTGTTGATTTTTTTATTTTTCTGAACTGTAACCTGTTTGTGTTTTAAAAAATTCCAATGGTCATTGCGACAATACAATAAATATCAAATATTTTATATCACTTGATATAATGCATAGTTACTTTATTTTGTTTGTTTTTCCCCTGACTTATTAATATCTTGTTCCGATTTAAAGTAACTTTAATTTTTGTTTTACAATACTAAACTAGTAGCTTGCAGTATATCTTTCTTTCTTCTGTTACAGAAATGACTCGAATTACGAATGGAAGACTTTAAAGAGCCAAAGTCTCCCAAAACTCAAGGAGAGACAGGACAATCTGTCCATGGCCAAGGTGAGATAGTCATCCCATAGCCAAGACAAATTAAAGTCTTCTTTATGCCAATGCAAGCCTTCTCATAACCAAGTTGTGGCGGTTATTGTCACACCTAAGGATGTTACCCTTCAAATTCTAGACGAGACCATGTTGCCCAGAAATGATTGTTACACCAAGAGCTCCAGCAACTGCCAAAGTGAAACAAATTCGAAAGGTATGGAACTTAAATTTATTCATAGAACCTGTATTTTATGTTATTCATCAGAAAGTAACATGAGTTAAAGAATTTCAATTTTCACAAATATTGGTATGATTTCAGTTAAAGGAATTCAAATGAGACCCAAAAGCCTAATACATAAAAATATAAAATTCATATTGACCAGCTAGGGCACTTAAAAATGAAAGATATGCAAATTGATTATTAAGAAACATAAACAGAAATTGAAAATGCTATTTTTATGTTATACATATCCCGATTTGAGTGAAAAGCCTTGAGACGCTTTCCTATTTGGAGTTTGATCTCCATCAAAGGGAACATTAATCTCGAAAAATTATTTCCAGTCCAATCGTGTCATGAGTTGAGTCCCTTTAATATGTGCTACTAAATCCCGCTGAAAATGAGTCTGTTTTTCATAAAAGTAACTTATTGTACGACTTACAGTAATATGACGGTTTCCAATTACTATTTTAGTAATCTCTTAACATTTTACAGGTAAAACGAAACGTCCGAGAAAATGGGAGGTGTTCTCCGGAGGGAATAAATTCTGTTGTAAAGGAAGATATATCCGTGGACCTGATAGCACCGGATACCTGATCACTCTCGCCTTGATCTTGATCATAGGTATTATTGTATTATAATAGTACGGGTTGCGGCCTTCGTGGTCAATTCCTACACATTAAAACAAACAACCGGTGTTTAATAACTCCTAGACCGATATTTTTCTAATTTATAATGGTTATATTGCGTTTATAACTTGTGATGTCCCGTGATTTACTTAATTATCGATTTTTTAAAAATTTAACTATCATCTGTGAATTGTCATTTAAATCACTGAAGGAACTTAATATAGTACGTGTAATATGTATGTAGACTACACGAAGGGTAACAAGTTTCAAAATGGCTAACATGGGCAGTGAAACCTCACATCAATTAAGGCATTACTTTTAAACTATTAATTCAAATCAATACGATATTCATTCCCACAAAATAATTCACTTAATTAAAGGTTTCTATCCGTCTTTTTGCTTCATCAAATTAGTTTTTGAACGACTATTTATCGTGATTAAATGCACTATATTTCGACAGTATTATTGTTGTTTTGTAAAACCTATCAGATTTAATTTACCACTACTTCTCGGAACATACGTACCCTTTCTGCTATGTAGTATAATCTCTGTTTGATGGTACTAGTCTATAAGATGCATAATATTATTTAATAGGAGAGAAACAAGTAAACTGTCAAAATAACAACATAAATTTAGCAGTAAAAATGTGCATAAATGACTGGTGTGACTATATAGAAAGATTTCCATTTGACTGACAAGGTTTTTCACTTCAAATTGTCATATGTAAATTTTATTTTTCAACGTAAATCAATATATATCATCGTTGTTGTTCATATTTTAATAATTAGATTTTTAATTGTTTCTATTTTAGGAGGGCTGTTTTTCAGCTTCGACAGCGTGTATCTATCAAAAAGAGTAAGCCCAGTGGTTCCAGCTTTAGGGGTGCCCATCTTTCTTCTTATGCTGGTATTGTTTAACGTGACCGCTTTTACTGACCCCGGAATTTTACCACGAGCCACCGCTTACGATATCGAATCAAAGCACTGAATGTACTGATGGGGAGGCTATGAGAGAATGTTTCAGACTTATAGTTTCTTTTCTTTTTGCTTAAAATATGCTACCAAAATAAAAAGATATGCACATTGCGCTATTTATCCTTACTGTTGTGTTCAACCATTCATATTATATATGGTTAATGAGGTTGACTATTCATTTTGTTAATATTCCAGAACATTTAATTAAGGTCTACATTCGGACTGTTAATCATGCAAATTTTGAAAAACCTAAACTGTCAATAATAAATGACATACCAGCAAGTATGACGACTGTTCATTATCAGATAACAATAACATTTTACAACTGACGGTTCCGTATCAAAATATTTTTGGACTGTTCATCATAAATATTTTATGTCATTTTAATATTATTGACTGATAATAACAGCTGCAAGTGATGCAACATTTTTATTGAACATAAAAATTATACACGTTTAGATGTACCATAATTGAGATCAATAAGATACTGTCTTGTGATGAGTATTAACATTCATGCTCTACGGACAGAAGGTTGTCTTCTTCAGAAGCAAATCTTGAATAAAATCACGTTTCAGAAAATTAATCCCATTTCATTACTGACGGCGTCGGATAATATTAAAGCTAAATATTTCTTGAAAAAAATACATCTCTGCAAAGCTTATTCAAAACTGAATCAACCTAAGTGAAAATTGATCAGGAAGTTATCAGGAAAACAGCCTACTTATCCCTTGTTAGATCCACTCTTGAATACAGCTCAATTGTATGGGACCCATTCCTACAGAAAGATATAGACAAGCTTGAGTCGATCCAACGGAAGGCTGCTAGATTTATTTCTGGAGATTACAAATCAAGAGATCAAGGCTGCGTTACCAAGATGTTGAAGCAACTTGAGCTATCTCCATTACAAGACAGAAGGAAAATGGCACGATTGACATTCTTCTTCAAGGTGGCTGAGGGGCTGGTGCCAGCCATGCCCACCGATACCTATCTGACCCCTATTCGTGGTAAACGCCTAATTAAACCTAAGAAACTAGACAATTACATAACTAAAAACATTGTAGAAAAACAAGCTATAAACCATAAAAAGTGCTATAAACCTATTATCTCAAAAAGTGACCAATTTGAACATTCATTCTTTCCTAAGACTATTGGTGATTGGAATAATTTAGACAGTGCCGTTGTGTGCGCAGAGACAGTACAGAGCTTTAAAACAGCTCTCCAACAGTGCTACTAAATTACTTAGCTCCTCTCTCCCGCTGCGTACATACCGGAAGGTTCTGCAGTGTACACAATCAGATTCAGATTCAGATTCAGTTATATCTTCTTTTTTTACCGCCAACACTCAACACTCAACCAACTTATGGTAGTTAATCGATAGATTCTACGTGTATTTTTAAACCTCACTAGCTTGAAATATATACTGCGGAAAATCTGTTGTTAACAGGGTGTGCGGTTATTACGTAGGGTTTTCCCTGTCGACCATTTCCCGCAAATAGATGAGAACATCGAAGCCGTCAGTGCTATGAATGGTGTTATAAATGGCGTGTTTTGGAAGTTTTTGTTGAAACTTCTCCAAATACCTCCAGAGGCGTGCACGTCGCGGAGAAGGCACACGGAAGGTCATAGTCAAGTCATCATAAGTACCAGAGGTGATTGGTTGACCTGTCGTGACTTACTCTGGAGGTTTGGCGCTAATATATGCCGTTTTTGTTGTCGTCAGTCAGAAAGTTGATGCCTTGACGGTATTGTCGTCTCCTTTACCACCAAAGAACGAAGAATGGGCTTCCAGGAAGAATCTGCTTGAAAAAGACGTCCCAGATGCTATAATCTCGGACATATGGTTATTCCGGCGCCGAGTATAAATAAACTTAAAACACACACACTTTTGTTGAAAACAAAACAACAACACATTTTCTGTAGTAATTTTTCAAGTGTTGTAAAATGAATAAGAAATTCCTCTTATGCCGCCCATTATTTTTAGAACACAACCATAAAAGTTCTTTTTTTTATTTTTCAAATAAACATTTATCACTTCAGCGCGAGCAAATTTCGGTTTCAAATTAAAGTTTCGTAAGATATGTTAATGACTTCCCGATGCTCGACTGTAAGTAATGTGTATATGTATGCGGTTTTTTTTGTTTTTGTTCTTTTGTTTTTTAATTAAAGCTTCTTATTCTTTAATATTTTTTATGTATCTCATAATCTGTATTGAAAAATTGAATTTTATTACAAATGGACAATCAAATTATGATGTATGCCCTAGAATTGAATAAACTTTCTAATTACACAATACGGGGTCATACTGATCTTTGCGTCTTTCTCTGAAATAATTATTTCCTTGTTAAAACATATTTGACCACATATTTCTGTCAATTAACTGTTCACTTTACTTCCGATTTTGTTGTACGGAAACACATGTTTCTATTTGTGTTTTCTAATCAATTCGAATCTATAATCAGTTTAATGGGATCACCACCGGGTAAACGACTACAAGGTACTTTGGTCATGTTTTTTACCACAAATATTTGAATGTTTCTATTGGGATTAAAATGAGCATAGTTAATTAAACAACTGTTTGTATAAATTCCTGACCTGTCTAATTCTAATTATGAGATTAGTGAATATATAAGACTTTCACTACAAAATATTCCTAAACAAAAGAGCACATGTTTAAATTTATTCCTATACAAATAAAAGATCAGAGTAGGGATCTGTCAATTACCAAAGATACTTTTATGTTAAAAGTTTGATTAATGAATTATGTAAGATGAAAATATAAGTATTGCTTTTTTTATTTTGCTAATGTAAAATGTAATATTGTGCTGGAATTTTGTCGGAGGTCCTTAGGGGTTTTGTAGTTAAATAGTTTTTTTTTCGGCGATAATGGTTAAAGAATATAATTTTTAAACTATATGTTCATCACCATCAGTGAATTTTTAGTTAAATGTATGCAAAATATTTACTAAACAGCTATATGATTTAGCGGTTTATGAGCGTTTTTCCGTGTACAGCCTCCTGGGGTGTACAAATAAGTTAGTTTTCCTTAGTTATCACGCAAGCATGATCCATGTCTCTGATGTAAGCGACAGTTTACAATTATTTGTCTTTAAAAAATATTAAGGACTATTAATAGTTTATAACAACAAAAGAACATGCATGATATTGAGAATACGTAGTTGCAACGTTCTAGTTAATGACCCGTCGTAAACAGTTGGTCGCTGCGTAGTAATTGGAAAATTGTTATCAAAAATAATAAAGAATATTTGCCACTGAATTAAAGCATTTACTTATAAATTTTCATTTATGCTTTTTGTTAAAAAAATATGGATAAAGTTATTATTTTGAAGGGTTTTCATACCAGAACTATTTATTACAGACGTACGTATGCCTAAACCTGATTACCGCGGCAGTATGACGTCACGGAGTAGTGATTTAAACAAAAATCAAGAATTTTTCAGAGAATTATTATCTTTACAAATTGCAGATATGAAATTAAAGAATGAAAATATTTTCATATTGTAAATGTCTGTGATGATTGATGTGTCAGCTTAGAAAAAATCAAGGTACTATTTTTTGACCTGATTACCGCGGCAGTATGACGTCACGGAGTAGTGATTTAAACAAAAATCAAGAATTTTTCAGAGAATTATTATCTTTACAAATTGCAGATATGAAATTAAAGAATGAAAATATTTTCATATTGTAAATGTCTGTGATGAGTGATGAGTCATCTTAGAAAAAATCAAGGTACTATTTTTTGACCTGATTACCGCGGCAGTAAGATTTGACAGACAGTTATTAACATTGGGTCGGCATAGCCTCCCCAAAAACAGGAAGAAATTAACTACAAAACAGACGACAACGGGTCGCGTTACACGGAAACAGATATCAAAGGAAGAGTATTCCAGCAGCAATACTGCAGAACGTGTAAGATCTACAGACCGCCCAGGTCATCCCATTGCAGTGTCTGTGATAATTGTGTGGAAAGGTTCGATCACCACTGCCCATTTCTCTCCAATTGCATCGGAAAAAGAAATTATAAACATTACTTTATTTTGTTAATTATAGCGACCGTGCTGTCATGTTATGTGATTGGTTGTAACGTGGCAGTTATCTCTTTCCGGGCACAAGAATATCCAATCAACGAAGCTTTTATGAAGTCAATACCCAGTGTAATTGAAGGAATCCTTTGCTTACTAATACTGTTAACCGGACTTTTATGTCTTGTTGTTTATCATACACGACTTGTTTGCCGAGAAGAAACCACGAACGAATCGTTAAAAGACACATTTGCTAATAACATTAACCCATTCAGCCAGGGTAGCTGGTACTCAAACTGCTTTTACATCCTGTGCACGCCTAAAGCACCAAAGTTGTTGGACAGACGAGGATTTGAAGATGATGCAGACGTTAGCCAGGAGTCAAGTAGTAACCCACCAACTCCACCAATTTAAGGACTCTAATCTTTTAATTAACTTTACAGTACAATCTACTAGATTTTTTTTTTTGTAATTGCCGTTATCAAGGAAAAAATGTCATTCTATTAGTATTTGAGATTTTTTGAGGATTCACTTTGCCTGTTGGATTGTCACTGTCTTATTGTCAACACATATTATATTTTATTTTAAAAAAATAACTGTATCACTCCAATAAATGGTATTGTTTTTGTTGTTTTTTATTTTTGTTGTTTTTTTTCGGGGGGGGGGGGGAGGGGTCCCTGAATAAACCCATTGTCTTCAAAAGTATTCATCACAAAGTTGTAATATTTCACATTGTGATTGGTCATAACTAGTCGATGCACCCTATTGATTTTGGGGTCACTAGGCCAAAGGTCACAGGGGCCTTAAATGTCAAAATGGTATCCGCTGATTATCTTAAAAAATATTCATTACACAGTCTTCATATTTCACAAAGTGATCGGCCATAACTAATAGATGACCTCTATTTATTTTGGGGTCAATGGTCAAAAGTCAAGGTCACAGGGGCCTTAAATGTGAAAATGATTTCCGCTGATTATCTTGAAAAATATTCATACAAAGTCTTCATATTTCACATAGTGATTGGTCTAAATGAGTAGATGACCACTATTGACTTTATGGTCACTATGTCAAAGGTCAAGGTCAGAGGGGCCTTAAATGTTAAAATGCTTTTCGCTGATTATTTTGAAAAGTATTCACCACAAAGTCTTCATATTTCACATAGTGATTGGCCATAAGTAATTCTATTGATTTTGGGGTCAAAGGTCAAGGTCATAGGGGTCTTAAATGTCAGAACGGTTTCCGCTGATTATCTTGGAAAGAATTCATCACAAAGTTGTTATATTTCACATATTGATTAATCATAACTAGTAGATGACCCCTATTGATTTTGGGGTCACTATGTCAAAGGTCAAGGTCACAGGGGCTTTAAATGTCAAAATGGTTTCTGCTGATTATCTTGAAAAGTATTCATTACAAAGTCTTCATATTTCACATATTTATTGGTCATTACTTGTAGATAACCCCTATTCATTTTGGGGTTTCTAGGTAAAAGATCAAGGTCACAGGGGCCTTAAATGTCAGATTGGTTTCCACTGATAATCTTAAAACGTATAAATCACAAAGACTTCATATTTCACATATTGATGGTTCATAAGTAGTAGATGACCCCTATTGACTTTGGGGTCATTAGGTTAAAGGTCAAGGTCACAGGGTCCTTGAATGGTAATATGATTTCCGCTTATTATCTTGGTAACCATTTTCACAAAGTCTTCATATTTCACATATTAATTGGTCATAACGAGTAGATGACCCCTTGTGATTTTGGGGTCAAAGGTCAAGGTCACAGAGACCTCAAATGTTAAAATCGTTTCCGCTCGTTATCTTGGTTACAATTCATCGCAAAGTCTTCATATTTCACATATTGATTGGTCTTAACTTGTAGATGACCCCTATTGATTTTGGGTCACCAGGTCAAAGGTCATAGGGTCATTGTATGGTAGAATGGTTTCAGCTCATTATCTTTAAAGATAATTATCACAAAGTCTTCATATTTCACAAAGTGATCATATCCAACAGATGACCCGTATAGCTTTTGGGGTCACTAGATCAAAGGTCAAGATCACAGGGGCCTTTAGTGTCAGAATGGTTTCGGCATATTATCTTGAAGATTTTTTATTACAAAGTCTTCATATTTCACATACTGGTTGGTCATAACTAGTAAGTGACCCTATTGATTTTGGGGTGACTAGGTCAAAGGTAAAGTTCACAGGGTTCTTGAATGTTAGTATGGTTTCTGCTCATTATCTTGAAAACTATTTATCACAAAGTCTTCATATTTCTAATATTGATTGGTAATAACTATTAGATGACCCCTATTGATTTTGGATCACTAGTTCAAAGTTCTAGGTCACAGGGGCCTTTAATGTCTCATTATATTGAAAACTATTTATCACAAAGTCTTCATTACTTTTCTTTTTTCCATAATTGAACACTTCCATGTACCCATTTATGGCAAGTTTTTATTACAAAATTACCAATGGTGTAAATCAAGGGCTAGAAAGGGGGGAGTATATGTGTCGTTCGACATTTCTTGTTTTCTTTTTATTATGACATCAGTATTATTTGCGCCGGGTGCAAAAGTCGACCCGCACATAACAAAAGATGCTTCAATTTTTTTTTTCGTTTAAGGCACACTTTTTTTACTTGGAGACCATACCCGCTTTTATGGTATGACATGAAAGTGTGATATAAAAGATTCCACCGCGGATGTTTCTTACTTTAAAAGTTCATCATTGTCACGTTCTAATGTTAAACTCTGCTTAAGCCGGTTTTAGGGGACATTAACGGTAGCTTGCAGTTATCACTACCGTCCATGAACAGACTTGATCAAACCGAGCCTGCAACATTTTAAGTTTTTCCGTTTTGGACGGTCTTTAAAGATTCCGTTTTTTATGTGTGTTTTTTTATTGCCATACCAGTGTTATTTGTGCCGTGTGTGTAAAATGCCCGTACATAATTATAATCAACGGTGTTTGAAAACCGTTCGGCTGGTTTATTTATTTATTTTTGTGACGAACCGAAAAATTGAAAATTCAAGGGCACTGAATTCAACGTTACGTATGTAAACAGAAATGGTACAATATAAGAGCGTAACCCAAGAGCGAGTCTTTTTAGCGGTGTGGTTGAGAGTTCATCTTAAACATGCAAATCCTGACGTTCGAGATCCCTGCAGGGCTGGATTTTATTCAGTCTTTTTTGTTTATTCATTTGAACTTTTAAACCCGGAACAAGTATGAACATAAATTTGAAAAAAATGTTTCAACTGTTTCAGCAGGTTGGTGGATACAACTTTGCCCGCTCATTCTCGAGTCATATTAATTTATGACATAATCTTATATAACATAACTGAACCTGATATCTAACTACAACAATTAATAATACAGTAATAAATCGTTGTGCAACCTGCTGATCGAAATATTTGAATCTGTTCCTGGCAGAATTTAAAAAAAAAAACAAAGAAAAAAAAAGCAAACAGACAAACAAAAACAACAATGATTGTTCCTGTATTTATACGTTCTCTTTTGTTATAAAAAAGGAATTTATATAAAAAGACACACAATCTAGTTTATTTGTATCAAATATATCAAAAACAAAACAAAATGAACAAGTTGTAAAAGAAACACATTTTTAAAATTTTGTCTTTCCCTCGTTCCTTACTTTTGCATAAAGTATGCTTGGGTCAAAGGTCACGGTTTTACCACCATTTTGAATATTTGAATTAGAATCTACCTGTAAAGAGTCAGCATTTTCTATTCCATTCACAAAATCAATTGTCTCGTTACTTGTTTCACCTGTGTAAGTACTGTCACTAGGCATTCTAGAATACGGAAGCGTGTCTTTTTCGTAGTCGTCATTGTCGTCTGCAGATAATGATTTAATTTTATACTGATCAAAGTAAACTGGGCTGCTAATGTTTTTCTTTGTCAATGAAGGTGAAGTGTTCCCAGCACCATCATAAATTTGACTTCTTGGAATTGTTGAAAATGATGGTTCCCCTCTATCCATTTCCGGTGAAGAATCAGACACTGTATTTCCGGCTTCGCCGTAATCTTCAGGAAAAGAGTAAAATATATTTGTATTTCTGATGTAATTTCTACGTACTTTTTCTTTCCGTTTTATCCTGCAAGAAGAATGTTTTATCCAAGAATAAAGAACATCTTTTATTATAAAAAAATATGCCTTTAAGAGATTGATGATTCATCTTTACATCTTTTTCTTTTAGAAACTCGGTTCTTATTACACCAGAAATATTTTGTTTTGACAAACCTTTGGTGTTGCTTTTACTTCTTAAATGTTTAGTTGTGACTTTTTTTCAGTGGAAAACGATTCCATGACAGCAGAGTGATAAAAATATCTGGTAAAGTCACTATGGAATTCACTATTTGAGAAATGAATAAACTTATTATTATAATCATATAATTGCCTATTTCATCTTCAAAAAGGCTCAATGTTTGACTTTGTTATTGATATATTGTGTGGAAAAGTGGCAATCATTTATATATCATACCATATCTATGAATGAACGAATGAAGATCTAAATAAGGATTTTATAGTTGAAAATTTCAAATAAACAATAGAAAAATTCATAAATAGTATAATTTACCTTAAACATAACAACACGGTTATAATTGCAACAATTATCATCAACAAAATTACCATACCGACTGTTATACCAATTATCAATCCATTGTTGTTATTTCCATCGTCATCTGTAACAATAGTTTATGGAAATGATATATTTTTATCTTATTTTATGTAATTGTATTCATTTACTAATGGTCATATGCATGTGACTTTTCTTCTAAATTGTATATATTGGTCTTCATCACCGAAGATTAAGCCAGCTGGTTTTAAATAACTTGTCTTCTACTATTGTGAGTTCAAATCCCGTCAAGGACTGTTGATCTATCTATTCATGTGACTGTGAGGGAGCTGTCAAGCTAGTTTACGGAATGTAAGAGGTTGTACACAGTGACCGTTTGTGCCTTACGTACCAAAGAGATGTCACCTGAAGTCTTCCCCCTCCAGTAAGATTGTCGGGTCGCACGATCAAAATCTTTGCTTAAGTTTATCAAACAAGACAATAATATAATATAATATCATATATCAGCATATATTATTCTAGAAATTTATCTAACCATAGCGACCCAAACAAAATGTGTTTTGGAACTTATGAAAGTTTTCAGAATGATCATTAAAAATTACCTTTGGTTTTTCTAGTTGTCACCGCCGACGAATGAGTTGTGATTTCTGTATTTATTGAAGAAATGTCCAAACTGTTTTTAGAATTTTGATCCACTAAATTAGTTGTTTCAACATCTGTTGATATGGTTTTATTGGTTGACTCTGACGAGGCATACATTTTACTGGACGTTGTATTTAAAACTGGAACGATTGTGGTTTGAGTTGATGTCGTTGTGTGTGTAGGAGACGATGTTACATCGACAGACACTGAGTGAAGTCCTGAATTTGTATCAGTAGATCTTAATGCAATACCGTTTGTAGAGGATGATTCAGAATTGACTGAAGCAAAAATCGTGGAAGATGATGTAGGAACTGAATCGGAATGTACCGATGGACTAACTGATGGTTGATAACTTCTTGAACGGGTGACACTAGGTGTCAAATTTGGACGGTAACTGGACGGAAAATCCGTTGCTGATTGTTTTGTCAATTGCTCTGTAGATGGACGGGATACATTTTTTGAAGATAATGTTGGTAAACTTCGTAACGTGGTTAAAGATATGACACTTTCTAGTGTCGTTGGTGTATTTGACGTATGTGTTTGAAATGACGAGCTTGCATTCTTTGTTACAGAATGCGATGACACTGAATTTAATGACATTGATGACTGGAATGGAGATGTAGTCATGGAAACACTGGGTGTGGTACGATGATGACTTGCTTTAAATGAACTTGTAAGTTTACTGGATGAAGATTTGGTTGTAATCTGCTGTGCAGATGTTGACTTGGTGGTCACTTTTGTTATTGGACACTCCAATTTTGAAATAGACATCTCAACTCCGGGCGCAAAACATTTTACAAGAAGAGGTTGTTGAGGGAATGCTGAAAAAATGTAAAGCTTTTATTATTTTTCTAAAAAAAAATACATTTTTGCAATGTCTTTAGTTCGTTAAAAAATTAACAAGATGTACTTAAGACTGATGTATATTTTACTTATGGCGTCTTTCATGTTCTTATGAATGCTTTGGGAAGGACCAATTATATTGTTAAAACTTGCGGTCCGACCTCTCGCTTTTTTTGAACAATTCGATATTATTCGATATTGTTTTATATTTGCATGTGACATTGTACCTGTTTTGTATAGAAAAAAAACGATATTATACGATTAAACTAATGCTTTGAAGCTGAAAAAACCACACTTATTCTTTGAACATTAATATCACTATACTTACTTTTGAAATAAAGAACAATATAATTTGGACCATTCAGGTCATTAGCAGCAATTATGTTCTTCATTGAAACAGTTTCGTTCGTAGCATGTAGGTTTATTTCAGTCATTCTTTCAAATGTATGTCCTTTTTTAAACAGCTCGGTATTCTGGCATTGGTAAGTCTTATTTTGTTTAACAAATTCAAGCGATGACGTCGAACATCCTGCTGTTGCCGTATCCAGCTTGGGCAGATTAAAATCCAGATCTACTAGTGTGGTAAACATCGCAACATTGCAGCCCGGTGTTAATATTTGACAGCTACAGTCCTTTTGGGTGTTTGCGCTGATTTGTAGGTTGCTACTTGACATGTTGAATCGAATAAACAAATCGGTGCCAGAGATGGTTTTGTTTTGGCACATATCTGTTCTATTATTGTCTGAAATTTGAACGATATCTTAAGCTGATAGAATAATGTCATATAAATAAAGCAAAATTTGTTACTTTTATATTGTAAAGATATTTCTCACAATTTAGGCATGTTGACACAGCACGGCAAATTAATTAAAGTTGCCGACATTCCTACTGAACTTTAACGGGGTGTATCCATTCATAGACTAATTCCAACTCTCATCTTGTGTCAGAAGAAAACGTCATTAATTATAACAAGACGATGGTCTCTGTGATGGAAAGTATTCACACATTGGAATATTTTGTTCCAGTATCTGAGGACATTTCTTGAATATACATACAACTTATCTTTAGACGAAATCAACTCTATGTGATTAAATTAAGGGCACAATAAAATTCTGAAATGAATAAACTTTTCATTCTATGGAAAAATCAAAAATGAGTTTAATATATAATGATTTAGAACATTTTAGATGCTCATCTCGTGAAGAATGTAGCGCTGGATGTGAAATTATCTCTCATAAAAGTAACAACATGTAAACAAACAGGGATTTTGAATACCATTTATAGTACTTAGTTACTATATTTTACTTATTGCCAAAATAAGATGGTTCAGGTATTTGGCAAATGAGTAACTATTTGGAAACCAACAGGACACAAACAATAAAATCAGTATCAAGGACATACACAACAGCTTGACTTAAACACAGACTCAATGGAACCAAGTCTGCATATTTTTTCAATTATTTGCACTTTTTTCTTAATGTAATTATTTGCATTTCCATTGTCGTCGCTGCCTCTTCAGTTACGTTCATAACATTTAAAAGACATACATGTTGATACATGTATACTTACTTTAGGTTTATACAAAATTTCTGTTATTCTTTCTTCCCCCAAGTGTCCGAAGCATTTGTTTCCAAGTATATAAAAAATTGGGGCCCGTTGCTAAGTGTATAAGGGTTTTTACTTTAAATCACTTGGCCCTCATCGCTGTTAGTCCGAATCCCGCCAGGAATTTTGGATTTCATGTGAGGAAGCTATCCACCTTATTTACGGAACATCGGTGGTTCTACTTGGGTGAACGTTCGTGCATGAAATAATGAACGGAGGGGCACCCGAGGTCTTCTCCCTTCAGTAAAACTAGAAAGTCGCCATATGATCTCTGTGGTGTTGGTGCGACGTAGAACTCGTAAATTCGTACTGAATGTAAAATACGATAGCCATAACTTACCATTAACGCAAGCATATTGCATCCACACATATGACGAATACGGTGTTTTAGCAAGTCTTGGCGCCCATCCTTCACAAGACACTTTTCCTTCACAATTCTCAAATATTGCAGACATATTTCGCTGGCTAAATGGAGTAAACGTATCGCTAGAATTATAACCGCAGCAAGCAGTGACCTTATCTTTCTCTTTGCAATTACTTATTCCATATTGACAATTCTGTAACCATTTCGTTCCGTACATCAGTTTTCCTAAAATTATGGAAGTTCCAGCAGGACACTGCATTTGGTATCTTGAGCAATCATCGTCGGCTCCATAGCAGGCGGTTATATCATTCCATACTGTTCCATCAACTGTGCATGAATAAAATATACACAGTACATGGGTAAACTGATAAACAAAGAATGATAAAACGTTCACATTATCTCGAGAATATACATGTATAAATCTTAAATGACAAAATTCTTAATATTAAATTGATTGGTTGATTGATTGATTGATTGATTGATTGATTGATTGATTGATTGATTGATTTATTTTTATTTATTTATTGTCGGCATTTTAAATCATATCGACATTGTCAAGATATTTGGTAAAATGAAAACAAACAACAACAAAAAAAACACGTTAATATCAATATTTAATGATACAAAACTTGTTTGATAACTATACTTGTATACTTCAATTAAGGGATTCAATGATTTTATGTTCAGAAGAATTGATTAAAATGTTTAAATAATTGCCGTCATACATTGTGACCAAGACCGTACCATCTGATTATAGTATCTAAAGTTCGTCAATTTTCCCTTAACTAATGAATAGTTTAGTTCAAATTTAAAGAAAGACAATTCCATTAAGTACATTTAAGCGTGGTAGAGTTAATTATTATAAGAATTCCACTAATCGCATTAATGCATTATTTTCTAAAAAATAAAATAAATAAACCTTAATATATTCCCTAGTAAAAACTATATTTTGGCCTCAGCTCTATTACAGTTGTGTAATATAACCCCAGAATAAAATTCATTTTATGTTTATTAATTGACTTTCCATGTAACTGTAACGATTTTATTAATATTTCTTAAATTTCTATAATATTTTACCAATAGCTAATAATGATAAGTTTAAATCTGAGCTTAAATCTAAAAAAAATGTCTGTTCTGTTCTGTTCATTTCAGCTAAATCATTCATAACTTGACATTATCTAAGCTATAATTACCAAATATATCTGTAAATCATCGAATTGCCCTTTTTTTTCCTTACAATTATTAATATCATAAAAACAAAACAGTTAAATACGTGTTTTAATCTATTTAATTGTTCCATTTGTTTTTGTCGTTATTTTTTCGGATGATTTTAATTTTTACATTTTTTTTTAATTCGAACTTGCAATATTTCTTATATAATTTTATAAACTTACCTTTTAAGAGGATACTTAATATCCACAATGTAAGAAAAAACAAGTTTCGACTATTATTAAGTGTGAACATTTTATTTAGCATTTGTCCACAATGGAAAACCATCTGAAACTAAACTATGACATTTTAAACATTAAAATAGCATATAGCATCTTTTATCCCTATTTATCACACTGCGGTGAACAAAGATATCGCTTTTTAATAAACAGGGAATTTCTCTTCTCAAAGCACATTCTCTGGTCACACCCTGGTTGACTCGAGCACAAATGTGTAATCAACCAGTATTTAGAAGTTTTCGTCTTATCGTCAAATGTTTAAACATGAACAGATTCGATTCCTTAAATGCCGAGGAATGTAACAAATTCACATCTCGAGTTTTCGATTTTGCAATTAAACTCATCATATCTAAGAGGCCAAGTCTTGATTTTAAAGTACCTGGACACGAATCTGCAGCTTCGGTAGTTAAATAAATTGCTACGAATTTGCGGCTTCCGTATCAAAATAAATTGCAACGAACCCGCGGCTACGGTATGAAATAGGTTGTTAAAATGAATTATTTTTTGTTTGAACGGTGATAAATGATTCTGAACGAAAACATCCTTCTTCATTATCTTACCATGTACAGCTTTGAGTGAAAGGTCACGGAGATACAGCAATTTGTTATTTTTGACTGGGAGATTGAAATGTATCCTACGGAAAGAACATAATTATTTCCCTGGTGTTATTAAACTTATTTCAGAAACATTCTTCTGTTAGGCTAATTCTTATCTAGAAATTGTTTCTTTAAAGCACATATTTTGCTGATGACTTCTTTTTGTGATTGGTGTACATGTATGTTTTACTAAAAGAGCACTTTGATTTTAATAGATACGGTTAGTTTTTCCAATTTGATAAATCACCGAAAATATTAAAGGTACGAGTCAGTATTTTTTGTAAAGAGTGACATTCTTTATAAAGTGAATGTTGATACACATTAACAAAGGCGTGGTTTATTTTGATATTAAATGCAATATAGCGTGCGGCAGCGCCTCACTAAGACACTTTCATATCTACGTTTCGCTAATTGTAAACACTGATTATAAATGAGCATCGGTGTGGCATCATTCTAACCACAGTGAGCAACAGAACATCTTTTGAAAGGTGTAAGTATTCAGTCGCAAAGTTTATTAACAGATTAGAAAGGCATTAAACGATTTGAAATTATTCACGTAGTTTCATAGATTAAACACCGAGTTCTGATAGCCTGGATTAAAGATTTAAGGTTGTTGTTTAAAAATATACGTAAACTTGATAGATACAAGTCATGCCTTTAGTCAGCTTTGGAGAAATTCGTTGACGGTCTGTTTTAATGACCACAATGTCAGACTGCCCAACGGCCTTAGTTGTTTTCTTTTGTCCCTTAGTTCACATATTATTCAAGTGTATATTACAATTTTAGTTCAAAATTGTGGGGAATTTTACAAAATATTTGTATATATTTTGGCGCTTACCTTTTTTTCCTTTTTTGCTTTTACTAATAGTAAACATAGTGAACAACAATTTGAAGAAACTAGCAAATCGTTCATTTTCAGTTTATCTGTACTATTTTAACGCTATGACAATGTATTCATGTTTTTATTTATATAAATAAATATTTGTTTTGTAAACACATTTACCACTCTTTATAACCCTAACCAAATGCTACCGACTTATTAAAAGATTTTTTATCAGATTTGCTCAATCCAATTCAATTCAATTCACAAAGCTCTTACTACCATGATTTAACATCTGTGGCATCCTTATATCACATTTGGTGTCCCCATCCCCTTTATTGGTCCCTAGCGCTACAATGCATATCTTTTCATGAACCACTATCAAACATGGTCTACAGCATCCTAAAAAACTTCTTTATCTGAACGAAATTTGATCTGTAGCAACTGTAGATGATCCTCTTTCAAATGTATGCAATGGTTCTTTGGTTAGACACTACTAAGGGCATGCAGTGGATTTAAATATAATGTATATATTTGTACATCTGAAAAAAAAAACAACATTTAATTCCGAGACATTGAATGTACATGTCTCATCACCAAACTTGCTCTTTACGGCTACACCTTCATGCCGGTAGCACATCTAAGAGAAATTTGAATTTGGGTGAACGATGCAAGGTCATCATGATCCTCTTATTTTGTACCATCAACAACGAGTTAAACGTCTATATTATCTATTTAACTTGAAAACCCTTTGAGGATGAGACAATTGATTATTTTGTGGTTAACGACGGAATTTTCCATTTGAAAACAGAAGTTTGCTGAGCATGAATAAAACTTCCTTGATCGTTCTCGCCGAAGATGCAGATGTCATTATTTTATGAAAGTTAGAAAACATCAACACACATTCCTGTGAAGTGAACTCGGCCTTTTTGATGCGCAGTAATTACATGTCACAAATTCTTCCGTTGGACAAATACAAAATAGAAAAAAATGCTTTAAGCTACAAACTCGTTTAGGGGAATCGATAGCCTGACCTGTGTTTAAAATTGTTTATGTAAATTCAGCTCTTGAAATTCAAAAGTAAATACTGATTTTGGACATAACTTTGATCATCAATTTAAAACTTCAAAGGTTACGAAAAATCCCCTTCAACTGTCCCATTTACCATCCAGTGTCACGTAACTGATATTGTGTTCTATGAAAGTGATTTTACTACCATATCAGATGCATGATTCACACGACATTTGAAGTCCTACAAGCCGACGCATGTATGGTAACTTTTCCAGCAACAAACATTGCGTTTTGGTTGGGTAAGTTCATTGCAAAGATTAAACAATATGATAAATAAACCGATTTGTTTACACATTGAACGCAAGAAAGTATACCTTTGTAAAGGTCATAAATACTTTGTAAAGTATACTCTAAAAAATGCAATGATATTATCTAAGATATTTGTTTATCTTGTGCAATAAGCGTTTCATAAAGAACAGGTTCTGTCTTTTTATTGTTATAAGCTTATAATATATCATTTCATATTATTTACATGTCATCTAATGAAACAGGTTTAAAAAAGCATACACGGATGTTAATTATTTTAAGAGGGATAAGCTGAAATTCAAGATCATTTTTACTAACACACTCTACAAAATGAGCTTTGATTTGAGAGGAAAGTATTATTTTCTCTCTTAGCAGCATTGCCGGCAATTTCTAAATTTTTGTATCTTGTTACTCAATAAATTAAAAAAAAAAATGTTTCTTTTTTGTTTAAAAGAAACATCAAAGATAAGAGGAGTTTGTTATTTATTTAAATAATAACTGTCTTGCATGAACTCATAATGTCATGATGTTTTCAAGTTGGTTCATATGAAGATGTCGGCTTAGACCTAATAGGAAATGGCATTGACATCACTTGTTTACTGCGGTTTGAGAACAAAGGCAGGAGTGTTACATGTTTTGTATGAAGACATGTTCTGTGATGTCCTAGCTTATAAACTGTCGCCAGTGATAAGTATTCCCTTTCCATATTTCCTCATTTTAAATGTTGTGTCCCCCTCCTCAAACCCTGTTGATCCCGTATCTTTTGGTTTTATTTCCTATCATTTTCCTTATTATATTGTAAATTGAAACTGTTTTATTAGCAGGTCTCTTCCCTCATTTCTCCATTCTTATTATGCCCTCTCAAGTTTTGGTTCGGTGTCCTTCTATGTGTTCGATGTGTCGCCTTGACTTGATTATCTTTGTTCTCATTTTCGTATGTCGGTGATTCTTTCCTAGATTATTTACTTAATTGTTAAATGGTTAACCAACATATCTTTAAAACTGAACTTGATGGCTTTCTCGTCCAAACAAATTTCAATATACCATTTTGTAAGTAGTGTGTTAGTTTTACAAACCACTTACACTGATAGAGATCTGTCACGATTTTGTTGTATGTAATATGTTTACAAACGTTTGTTCTGATTTTCAATAGTTGAAATACTTTTCATGAAAAAAAAATATTCTTCTAATTTCATGTTTGAACAAAAAATGAAAAACGATTCCACATAGGTCATCCACATGATCTTCAAACAAGATAACGCAAACGTATATGAAAACCACTGCCGCAAATAACATAAAGTCACGTTATGTTTTAACACTTCCAACGTTGAATTTATTTCCCATACGTACAGTAATTCTAGCATGAAACACAAATACCGTATTTTAACCCTAAAAGAGTGATACATTGTTCTAAATATTTAATGATAATACGATGGTTGTATGAAATCTAACAAAATCACAGGTTATATCAGGATTTGTTCTGCGACTTGTTTAGATTTGAGATTGTTCTAGTGACTAGAATTAGTGGCACTAGGTAAACTTGCGGGTAAATAGTTTAATTTGAGGAAGGCCCCCGTCACATTGTTAATTGTTGGCACATGTTCGGTCATGACACTGTTGGGACACACGACCAAATGAATATTGTATTGACCATAACAATTTTCTTTTCAAAATGTCTTAAACGAAATTAATGACATCTGTCTTGCGATTTTATAGTTTAGATTGTATCACGTCTCTTGATAATACATTGCAAGTTATTTATTGTAATGTCAATAATGTAACGTTTAGGTTAATTGTACGCCATTTGCAATGTTATAATCTTGATAAAGCCAAATCACTTACGAAATTGAAGCATTATAAATATTGAGGGAGCGGTGACCTAATGGTTAAAGTATCTGCATGTTAACCCAGAGATCATAGGTTCGAGCTTTCATGGGTTACGACCATGTTTCCTCATAAGTATGACACAAGTACTGTATAACTCCAGAGAGTGACAAATATCCGTTCGCGAACAAGCTTTAATAAATTCAATGTAAGTTTAAACTAAAACATTGTTGTAATTTCGCTTCAAGATCATATTATAATATTTGAAATGACGGTGATACTGTATTATAACAGATGTAATAGTTCTTTTAACAACATTAAAGGCACAGAAAGCCTCAGAAATTCATTGATTCATTTTTCTTTGTGTGACTAATAATGTTGATATAATGGATTTAGAAAATTTGTATCATCACCTGGAAAATAAATTGCGTGCAATAATTTGGGATAAAGATAGCAAAATGTAAACAAAGTGGTTTAACTTCAATACAAAATACTTAATCACAATTCAGCAAAAGATGGCGGAATAACATGGTCAACGAGTAACTTTTTGAAAATTGTAACAGGTCGCCAAAAATGAAAAACCTTTTAAAATAAAAATCTTATATTTTAGGCTTAATGAGCCTCTATGTCTATCGCTGTAAGTAACAACCAAATACAAGTTGTCGTTTAATTGTCAGTGAATGGCTTTATTTATTCATCTATATACAACACACAATATTCGGAATAAAAGAAATATTTATAGCAAAAATTAATGAATACAGCTTAACCTTTGCCAAAATCATCATATCAAAATATGATGGTTTCTTTAAAAAAGGTAGGACTTACAAAGGCCTATCTCCCCCACGAAAATCCCATAAAATTAATTTCACATTACAAATAATGTATAACAAAACTTCCACATGTTGACAAATGTGTTTTTGTATGACTTAACGTTTAATATGATTTCACACGGGTTGTTATTTTACAAATTTATTAAAACGAATTTGAAATTATATTATTAAGTGTATTTCGTATTTCTGGTCAACTTAAGATAATAATAATAATGATGATAATAATAATAATAATAATCTTTATTGAAAGATACACTAATTATCATCTTTGTGTGAAATATATCAATCTCAGAAACTTATTAGAATATAGGAAATTCTTATTGAATTAATCTAATTTAATTT